TATGCATACACAGGGTGTAACATAAGCTAAAACAAGTTTCTAATGAAATAAGTGAAGAATATATATTCAAGCGAATACAGTTAATGTTTTTCAAGTAGGCCCCCAAAAAGTAGGTATAAATAAACCTTGTTATCAATTTAAAACTAATTATTTCCCCAACGGTAGTTATGTTAAATTGTATTGCATAATTTTTAACGCCCTTTTAATTGATTTCAAATCCACTGATATTTAATTAGGCATTCCTTTGTAATATGCAATACTTTTTGCATTGCTAGGCAATACCTACTCTCTGTGGCCTTCCGGGGTAAGCTGTACTCTCAGCCAGTTGTTTGTCCAAGTCAACATTCCCCCATCCCTCTCGATCCATCGCCATCCGCTTTGGCTGTCACTTAACCGCACGCGCCTATAAGCAGGCAATACATTTTAACGGTAATGGAGAATGGAGGATAAAGCAGGTGCAGGAGGAGCAGAGGAAGAACAGGGGACACAGTGGGCTGGGTAACTCATCACTTATGGCCATTATGTGATTGTCCCTCCATGGCAGGCACTGCATACAGAAATGTATGTAAATCCATCCACATTCTCCTCGCTATTCGGAATGTGTAATGATGATGGTAATCTGAATGAGGATGATGAGGATGCTGCCGCCGATGAGGACAACGTACCTGCCTCTGGCCTAATTTCCATGTGTGAGCGACAGAGTGCATCGCTGCATTTGTGGTCGTGCGGCAATTGCAGTCACTAGAGATGTCAAAAGGTGTTCTGAACAACAGAAAAAAGAGGAAGTTCTGATAAAAACAATACTTGTTCAAAGAAATTGTTATTAATTTCTGCAGAAACTCAATTTACTTAAAGTAAAGCAAAGTTTTTTTTTTCAGGTTTTATATATTTCTTAGAAGCAAAATAAATACGAATACCTTTTGGTTGCTCATGTGAAGTTCCTGATAAAACGTTTTTCTCTGAATTTTCACCTGCATTATATATCAAGCAATTCGCTTAGATTTTTTCACTAGAACTTTCACCGCATTTTAAAGGATAAAAGCTGAATTATCAACACAGAATGCCAGCAGCAGCATCAGCAGTAATGTGCCATATCCCTTCCTTCTTCACCACCTTAACCCATTGTCAACTGTCGTATACAATTTGCAGAGTGCAAGAGAAATAGGGAGAGTCCTTGATGGTTCAATTTAATGCCAGCCACCCGCAGACCCCCACACATTCACACACCCAGGATGTGTGTGGGTGTGGTCGGCCACGCCCCTGATTGAGTTACATGCTGCATTACCCATGCATCCGCCCCCGTACAGCCCTCCGGCTGGCGATGGTCAGCATTTGAGCAGAGGATTTGCGTAAGCGAACCACATAAATTGTGATGGAATCCCAAAGCCACCACCACCACCACCAGCACCTGCATCGGAGCTCGCCACCCGGCACCCACTAGTCAGTCAGTTACCTATTACCAGTTTCGCCCAGTGAAAGGTCGGAGACGAGGAAGCGAACCACAAATCCCCAGCATGCGCCGAGTTTGGAGGTGAGCGAGTGAGCGGCACGGTTGGTGTTTAGCACGTGTCCCCCGTCCCGTCAGATCTCGCCCAGGCAATTTGCTCTTGCGGTCGCTCTGTCCTAATGCCGTGCCGCCCCATCGCTATCCCGTTGTTCTGATGGATGACCATCAAAATTCCCAACATTATCGCCCCCTCAGCCTCGGCTCTGCTCAGCCTTTTGGCGGACCCGAGTCGACCCTATCCTTTATTCTTGTTGCTCGATTGCCCGCCTGAAGTTGACCGATTAACTTCCCTTCGCCGCGACACAAAAGCCAAGCCAAGTCCAATGCCAGCGTTTCCAGCTGCCTTTTTGTTTACAATTCCACAAAACAAATTTAAGTTAAATTTAGCTGGGGGACAGGGGCAAGAGAGCCAAACAGCCATGACGATTTACATTTTCAAGGGATTTTGGCGGGCCGTTTATCTAGCTGTCCCTTGGAAATCAATTCGCTCGAGTTGGCGTCTTCGGGGAACTAGTTCTTTCTACTAGGCATTGGGATTAATTATTGAAAATATTATATTGGGTGATCCAGAAATAACAAGAGGTTTAATAACGCTTTTAAAAGGTGTCTTAAAGTATGAAAACAAATTTGTTTAGGTGTATAGTTCAGCCACTTTTCAAACCTTTTCAGGGTTATTAGATTTAAATTAAAGGTTTTTTAACGTTAACTTTAGCACATGGGTCCACAGAAATCATAAAAGAGAGATAAAAGATATATTTATCAGGAAAAACATGTTTTATGATAAGGGAACTAGTTTGTCCTTTCTTTTGGAACGAAACTTTCCTGCTCCAGCTCTACTCCGCTCAGTTGGTTCACATTTTCTACCCAAGTGAAATCATAAATTTTAAATGTAGTCAAGGGCTGAGCTCTCCACCCATGCTCCTCGCCTTCCCAAAGGATCTGTAGCTGGAACTGGAGCTGGGGTAAAAAGGCAAACAGTTCCGCTCCGCTTCAATCTCCAATCGCTGGTTGTCTCACTGGGAGACAAACTAATTTGCATATTTTTCGAGCGCGCTCAGTGCTCCCTTTTGTTTCATCTGGCTGGGAGTGTCCTTAGCCCTCCAGTTGGCTAGGAGAGCTGTCCCTCAATTAAACTGTCATGTCAAAGTCAGTCGCGTCAATGGCGGCATTGAAAATGGCAATGGCCAGCAGCGGGGTTATCGGTGGTGGAGGGACTCGGCCGGGTAAGGATTCGGTCTCGGCTCCTCCTCCGTTTCTCAGCTTTTGTCGTTGCGTTGGCTTTTACGACCCATTCGGGCCCGGCACGTCACTCGGATTTTAAGTGCCAGCCGTCGTAGGTGGTGTCCCTCTCCTCCTCCTCCTACCCAGCATCCCTGCCACCCGTTCCCCCGTTGGCTTTCGTTCAATTCAATTTGCTCTGTTGCTATTTCAGGCCTTGCCTAGCATCAGCCGTTGCCTTCTGACATTTCAAATTGATTCTGTGCGATTTATGTATATCATTTCCTCCCACACATCCACACGGACTGTGTGTACGATATATACGTGATTGTCCTCCGGTTTTCGGTTATCGGGGCCAATGGCAAACAGCAGCAAATTATCCCGTCTTTGTGGGATTTATTAACTTTACGGATGCGAAATTCAAGTCCTGAGGCTAGCGCATAGTAGCCTTTGAGCCCAGTTGCAATTAAGCATTGGCACATAAAGATCCTTTCCAGAGATAAATCGTTAAATAATTTCAACAAAATAAATACTTTGAATTCCTATGAACTTCCAAAGGCAATGGTATTTTGTCTATTTTCCACTCATAATGAATTTTCAGAATGCCTAACCATGTTCCCTGTTACTTGACATGAGTTCAGTTCCCAAACATAACTGAATTTTAATGCCAGGGCCTCCCTTAAGGACACTCAGAAACTTCCCGAACGAGCCCTTAGCATTAAAACTAAACTCAAATGGAAACCACACGAGGGTTCAAGGAAACGGAAATGTGGTGTTTTGCTAACCACATCCATCCATGGAACTAAGCTAAGAGCAAGACTGGCAGGCAGCCGTGATGAGCGAGAGCCCCAGTCATAAAATAATTGAATACTTAACCCAGTTATGTGTCAAGGTCGTGCTATAAATCCACCCAACTGCTGCAACAGTCTCACCTGAACTGTGATAATGAGCGATGCTCGAAAGTTTAATGTCTCTGGCTGTGCAATATTGATAAATGATTGACTTTAATGCTGTTACTTTCATTGCCCGTCTGCTGGCTGACCCTTCTAGCGACGGCAGAGAGATCAAGTGAAAGGCGGCCGTGTGGGTGGCAACTATTTTTAAGCATTTCGTGGGGGTCAGGCCAAAAAAAAAGAGGGGAAAAAAACTGCGAGCCAATGCAGTGACGTAAATTACGCGATTGCCACAGTGAGAATAATGTAAAGTGACTTATTTCCAATAATATTATACGCTAAGTAGGTTTAGCAAAGGCTACCATAAAGAAAAGTAGCTATTTTCCGAATTGGCAGCAGTTTTAGGTGGATTAGTGGATTTTTAAGTCAGGATTGTTTTGATTGGAATACAAGCTTAATGATGTTTGGTACTTTTTGCATTTTGCTCAGTGCATTTGTCCAATCAAGAGGGATGCTTGCGGAGCTGGTGGTCTATGATGATGGGGTCAGTGGGTGGCGGGATTTCGCGATTCTAGCTGATGTCATCAGCCAGACGACAAGGACTCGTGGCTTCTGTTTCTCTGATGGTTTCGTCTTGGTTGCCTAAAGCCAAATTAAATAAATAGAAATGCTATTTTTTTTTCTCTCTTTTTGTGGTTGTGTGCCATCGTTCTAATGAAATTCTAACACGCGCCGCTCTTCAAGTAGGCGATGAATGCTGTCTCTGTGTGTGCTTTCGGGGGGTGTGTGTTTATTTGCGGTGAGTGTGTGTGTGTTGTGTGTGTGAGCAGCTGGTCATAATGAGCCACTTGAGTGGCGCACACGCATGCAAAAAGCATTCGAGGCCGACTAAGTCGTTCGTCCTGCGGTCGTTCGGTGGATCCAACATCTGACCTTCGGCCAGAGACAATGCCAAGGCTCAATGAGAACGATGTGGACGTAAACGTGGACGTAGGTGGTGTTTGTGTTCATTGGGAGGGGCAACCCACAAGGCCAGGTTTCTGTAAACGCGGGTGTGGCACGAGCTCAACTTCCTGTTGCATGGAAAACAATATCATGTGAAATCAGGAAAGAAAGAAATTATATTATTTTAGAATCTAGATCTATAAAAATAAATGGAAATGGAATTTTCTAGAAACTGGGAGACACACTTGGATCACAAAATGTGGTCAGCTTCCGATTCATGCTTCCCTTTCTCGTTTGTCGCTCGTTCCCAATCGGCCAGGACACGACTTTGCCTTGCATCGGATTCCCCTACGGGTAGAGAGAGTATAACCATTTTGCCAGTGCCTCGGCTCCGGTTGATAATCATTTAACACTTTTCTCTACATTTCTCGCTCTAGATAAAAACAAAACACAGCCGCGCAATGCATACAAATGAGCGGAGGAGCCCAGGAGTCACGTAGCCTAGCCGCCGCCTGGACGGGAGGAAACCACCTCTCATCTCTCCGGCAGCCAAAAATAGGTGGCTCTAATTAAGAAGACAAGCCTGGAGGAGTCTTGGTGCTGTTGCTGGTTCTGGTCCTGGAAAATTAATGGAACCCACGAGTGGCAGAGCATTTTCGGCGTTCACACAAATTAAATTCCATCAAGTTTATTTGCTGTAAATGAGGCAGAGCCAGAAGGATCTTCTTCTCCCGACTGGCCCTAATTTAATTTCCCCACACCCACAAGGGGGCCAACCCTTTGGGGGGAGTGGAGGAAGGGCTAGCACGTGTTGCCATGTTACCATTTAGCATTTACCACTTAGAAGCGAATGTAGAGAGCCACAGCCACAGTCAGACACTTGATACACACACACAGAACAGAAGCTAATTCCGAGTTGACACGACGATTCGTTAGATTTTCCATGTAAATAGTCATTATAATTATTATTATGGTCTGCGTTGATTTTTGTCTCGAGGGGAACTCTGGAGAAAACCCCAACAAAGAAACGACAAAATTGTAAACAAAACCCAATATTTATTACGAAATTTCACATTTGTCTGCATCAAGCAAATGCAATGATTAACGATTATTAAATTAAATGTATCGAGACGAACCGAGCAGCGGATGAAAATCTATTAATTAGTAATTATTATAATGTGATGTTATATATATAAATCAATCGATAAAGGCAACCAGCAAAAACAAAATGGAAACTACAAAAACTATGACAAATTGTTAACCAACGTAACAAATTTCACTAAGTAGATTTTTCGAATTAAATTTAAATAATAATTAAAGCATAGAAAAACCAAGGAAAACAAAAATAAAAATGAAACTAAAGAACTTTGCTGTATACACGAGATAAAATGCGTTTTTCTACTTCAAATGAATATGTAAAATGATTTTTCAAACTTAGATTACCCTATATATACCTAAATATATATATACCTAATTATACATATAAAGAAATTACAAATTCTATGTAAATGTTGTGCGTATATAAAAGCAAAGGCGTAGAAACCAACCCACATTTCGATATCTTTCAGTTACTTATGTGTGTGCTATATATTATTATCTTCTTCTATGTAAAGGCAAGAAGAGCTTGCTTGGCTTCAAACAGACAAATTTTTGGGCCTTAATCCAGCAACCAAACTACCCAAGCCGAGGCCTTGGTGTTCTTCTAATTAGCCAGCATTCTTTCTCAGATCAATATATATCTCTATTATATGCAGTACCCCTGGGGAGGGGGGCAACCCACACACTAATGGTTATATTCTCTATATCTAAGTGAATGTGTTCGTTTTAAACTTGTATAAAAGCACGCTCCCCTCTCCGCTCAGACACGAAATGTTTGTAAAATATGACCGAAAAAAAGGATGAAGCAGAATTAACTTACAAAATAATACGTATTTCTGGAAGTATGGGAAGAAGACATTTTAGTTTTTCTACTTGAATCGCATTTCTTCCACTTTTCCACCAAACCAAATGAAATTTAAATGAGAAAACATACATATAACGAAGATATAATATTTTGAGTCTCTTCGATCCTCAAGCTCAAAAAACGAAACCCTAAACGAGTATAAACAAAATAATAATGATAAAGAAGTTTCTAGGTTCTATTCTATGTTTAGTTGTCTTGTTATTTATATGTTTAGATTTAGTTTGTGTCTAATTTACTTTTAAGTTTTCGCTCCGCAATAAATACAGACAATTATATATATTTTTTCTATAATTTGTTTCATTTTATCATTTTCGATACGTCAGACCGGAATGATATGAAGAGTAAACGATTAACAAAATGCATAAACAAATGAATTGCTAAAATTTAAGCGCAAAAGTTCAATTAATAAAACTTAGAATTTTAAAATTAACATAATTTGGAATATTTATATACTTACGCATATATATACAACTCTATATATGAAAAAATTAGTAAAAAATCAAATCAATTTCCATAACGACCGACAGAAATCTTAAAAAAAAAAAATTAAAATAGTAACGAGTGCAGAAATAAACACTCGTGCAATTGTACTTTAAAATTGAATAAAATTCATAAAGCAACAAAAAAAAAAACAACAAAAACAAGAGAACAGTGAAATTGGAGAAGGAATGAGTGGAATGGAACGGAGCTTCACAAGCAACTCCCATTGCCTAGGGTTGCCACCGCCAACTTGCAAGCAGCAGCCTTTAGAAGAGGTCAGCAACAGACACAAGCAGACTCACTCTCACACAGACACACTTGCAGTGTTTGCAGTCGTGGCTACGGTCCACAGGGAGCGGGAGCGGGACAGAGATATATTGACTATTTTTGGTGGACGGATGGATGGATGTATTGTCGTGCATTGGGAGCAGCAATTGCAACAATAATTCCAGGCATATCGAAGCATTTTTACTCAGCAATCAGCGAAATCGGCAACCAAAACTGATGGCAATAACAAGCGACAGGAAACCAATGCGAGGACAAACGCGGGAAGGGAACACAAACACAATCACACACACACACACACTCGAACACAATAAGGGACGAATGCGAGCAAGTAAAAACTTAACGGGATTCACATATGTATATTCAAGAAGCAATAACGATATATTTCCACGTACGATAAACGATAAACGATAAACGATATGAAAGAAGAATAAAAATCCGATGAAGAGGAAGAAAGTCAAAAACTAACAAATAAATATTTATACATATATTTTAATTATAGTTACAAATTAGCATATATATAAATATATATATAATTATACATACATACAAATATATATACAGAAAAGATAGTCCAAATAATTTAGCGAACAGAAGAAAAACGAAGTAAACGTTTAATATTTACAAAATATTAAAATATCAATGTGCAATTTAACAAGCGTTTAAAACAAAAGCAAAACCAAAACTGAAACACTCACACTGACACAGCCACAGCCACACAGAAATAAAGCTACATACATACATACAAATATAAACACACCTAAACATATATAAACGGATTATATACATTATATATGCGAACATAACGAACAAGTCGTCGGTACATATAACGATCCATTTATAAACGAAGCGAAGGCGAGCAGCAAAATTTAGTGGCAAAAACAATTCAGTTTTGTGTGCACTCGAACACCACCACCAACCAGTAAGCACAGTAAAGCCTACCTAAAGGGAAATCAAAATTCAGCAGATACAAAACACAACATACAACCTATAGATACCACACGAAAGCAAGCCGTGCTAGGAACTGCATCAAAAGCGGTCGAGAAAGTCAAGTTTTTGAGAAAATACTCATAATTGTTAAAAAATGTTTAAATAATATAATAACAAAATAAAACAAAACCAACAAAAAAAAAACATTAAAAATTAAAAACAAACAAAACCGCAACAAAAAAAATGGCATATTACATATATTTTTTCTCTCCTTAGACAATTTAGTTAATTATGAAAAATAATGAAAACCAAACATTATACTTAAGTGTTAGTCTTATACATAAAAAAAGGATACAATTAATAAAAATTAAATGAAGAAAAAAACAAAAACGATAAATGCAGCAAAAGAAAATCACGGAACAGAGGCAGCCGACGAAAGAGAAATGTGCAAAGTAACAGCAAACAAGTGAAAATAAAAGAAAACCAGACAAGTAACCCAAATCGAAATGAAAAACAAAAACAAAACTTAAATTAAGAAATTAGATTTGCCTTTGTGTTAATATCAAGTGTGTTTCTTATTACCATGATTATTATTATTTTTTCATTTCCAATTGGTCAGACGTGAAATGATTTCCTTACATATTGATTGAGAAATAAAAATTATTAAACAAAAAAAAAGAGCCTGCTTCTTATTTATTTCCAAAGTTTCGGGGTTACAGCTTGATGTGGCACGGTTTCCCAGGTTTCCAGGGATCATATTTCTCTTTACCGTATACTTACCATTTGTTTCGCCCACAGGAGGATAGCTTATCAGTATGGAACCGGACTGCCACTGATATGACCAGTACAACACGTATCCGTGATACGTTACGCAGGATATTAAATATACCTCTAACAACGGCAATGGAATATAAGATACACTGTGATAGCCTTAAATATGTTTCAATGTAAGTATCACTTTAATATATCGAACTTTTTCAAAAACACGGCAATTAAATTAAAAAAACATTTTTTCTGAGACTTTTAAATATTTTAAATTTCGATATATTTACGATATTTTCGATATACATTTCTAATTCATTTCTAATCTACATTTTGGCTTCAATTAATGGTTATGTTGAGTAAATCTTAAAATATGACATCTTGCAATAATTTACACAATATTTATTTTATTAAATTGTAATCAAAATACTTCCCTGTACCATACGCAGGCCCCTGTTTCATACGCAGACCAGGCGACGAAATCGCATGGTTTGGAATTTTCGTAACCGAAACCGATTTTATACTATATCTCGTTCAATTCAAGAAAAGCAAGAATAGTGTCTGAAAATGGTTAATAATGATTCTGTCTGTCCTCGTTGATGGAGGCCAGTTGGCTCGTTTTCTTATTGGGCAGAAGAGGCAACAAAGTAAATCACTATCAATAATATTCTTCTTTTTTCTTATTTTCCAGTAATAAAGGCCCCTTGAAAAGCTGAAATTCAGTGAATAACTATAAACAAAAGAAAAACAAAAACAATAATTACACAAACAGATAATATATAAGTCGCTAGTGAAAGCAGGAGAAACAGCCACAAATTCATCGACACAACAAACAGCCACAGACAGCAGAAGCACAAGAAGGGAACCATCGTCAGCCCATCCTTAACCCGTTACCCGTTACCCGTTACCCGACACACGAAACCCGAATCCCGAAACCTCGAAAGCCGCCGCATACACAACGAGACCCAGGACTTCATCCACAGCGAGACAAATTAATATTTAAGCGCCAATAAGACAAATCTTTGTATTTTAATCAGCTTACAAAGTGTGTGTATATATGAAACGCCATAAATATTTTAGTTTGTATGTATAAAGTTTACATTAGGCATTCCTTCCTAATTAAAAAATCAAGTCCCCCAACTACTGCCTGAAACAGATGCCTCTCCAATCTGGCTGTATTTATCTTTCTCTAACTTTATTTCGTATTACCCTATACTTAACCTCCCCGAGAAGAAGATTGGACCATCTCTCCCGCAGGCGAGACATTGTATTGTAGCCTTATCGATTATAGCCATAGCCGGCCGGCAGCCAACACAACACAACATAATACACACACACAAGTTAATGAATCAATGAAACTGACACTTACACTAACTAGCCGATACTGTATTTATCTGTTTGCAATGATTATTTTTTTAATTAATGATAAAACCCTGAAACTGAATAATCAAATTGTTTTTGTTCTTGAAGAAATACAAAAGTTTTTTACGTGAAAAAAAAGAGAAAGAAGAAACTAAAAACTGAAACTAAAAGCGAAACCAAGTTGTTTTACATATGCCAAGCACACCCGCAAGACCACTCCACCACTACCGCCAATCGAACACCACATTCAAATATTTATCTCTCCCGTAAACTCTTCCTCCAGTACAGTACAACCAACGCAAGCCCAAATAAAGGAAACTATTGAAAGTTGCAGAAACTATTTTCCATACATATTACTACTGGATTGTTCTGTTGCTTTTTCTTTTTCATTCCTGTTGGTAAGTATAGCAGACGGATAAAGTTAAAGGCTCAACAAAGTTGGCAAGGATCTGTATAATTCAATTTTGGGTATATATGTACGGTGGATATCCGGGACTAGGTTGATTAAATAAATAGCTTATCATTAAGTATTACAAATTGAGAACAGGAAATGAAGCTAACTTCAGCACGCCGAAGTTTGTATACTCTTGCAGCATTAAGAATCGAGCCATTTTGGTCAAAAGGAGAGAAAAACTAACAGGAGACATACAAAATATTTATACAAATAATAAAATGCTTCTGATTGAAAGTATAATACAATCAAATTGGTATTAAAATGTATATTTATCCATCATTTTGTATAATACATTATAAATTAAACATTAATAATACAATAACTAAGCCAACAATGCATTTATTTCGGAAAGCTGTTGTGACTTAGATTTTATAAGATTAATAAATCTGCTTACTAAATTAGTTTTTTTTTTTTGCCCAATTTTGAAAAAAAGTATTTTTCTGCCCTACAAGTAAAGAACAAAAGTCAAGCCTAACAAAAAAAAGAAGAAAATCATAATACCCTTCAAGAAGAATATTTGAATTATTTAAATAGATATTTATCCAAATTTTTAAAAAATTTTCGAACATTTCAAATCTAATTCGGAAAACTTTTCGATGCTATGTTTTTTTTCTAGGTTAACCAATCTTTATACTAAATTTAAAATTTTAAAAATCAATTTTATTTTCGATTTTTGAGAATTTTAACGATAGCCCTAACGATAAACTCCTAATAAAATGTTTAAACAAGAAAGAAAGCTAACTTTGGCCAGCCAAAGTTTGTATACCCTTGCAGGTAACAATTAAAATATATCATAACTAAGCCAAAAATGCATTAATTTCGATTCGGAAAGCAGTTTTGTGTTAGTTTTTATTAATTTAAAAAAACTGCATACCAAATTTAAAATTTTAAGAAATCAAAATTTTTGGCCATTTTAATGATGTAACCCCTTATCAAATTTCGCAAAAATGGCCAAAATATCGATTTCTTCCGAACATGTCTAGAATGATTCCCCTGTTGATGCAGA